AAAAATTAACATTCACATTTATATCACTTTCTTCCTCACATCCCCCAAAATCTTTAGTCCTAGAAGAAAGTTTAAAATGAAATCTGCTAATTGGTCTATAATACAATAGCAAATACTGGTCTACTCAGTGTATATTTCAGCAAATGAGACAGCAGCCTTGTTCCTGGATTCGGTTATAAAGAATGTAATCTAAAGCACTGTGATGATAGCTTCACTAATCTCTCCAAAAACAAACAAACTGCTCCTCAGCTCAATCACTGGCTGTTACTGTGTAACCTACACGAAGGAGGACAGGGCCACACAGCAATGGGGGGGGCTCCCCGCGCAATTTACACAGACCATTTCCACAGGCGGAAATAACAGCGGAAAACGTATGACTTGTCTTGAAAGTAAACTATTATAACTAATTTGTCAGGGACAACCTTTACATTCGTAAGTACGTTTCTCTCTTAAAACTTTAACAACGAGAAACTGGTTACATTATTAAATAAAACACCTACTCATTTTCCACGTCTCTCTCTGCTCTCCTGTGCCAAATTTTAACATAAATGGGTAGAATTAAATGTAGCCTATAGGCCACATTTAGCTTACCTAACATAATTATATGTTGTGTTTTACACTGTTTCAAACGGATACATTAAAATAATCCAGTCTTGGCTCCTACCCACTAAAGTCAATAAAGGTTATTAAGGCCAACTGCCACACAAACGCGTTGCTATGCCAGGCAGAAGAAACTGTCAGGACAGGAAATGCAATTCAAAACATTCAAAACGATCAGGATCCACTTTCTCTTGTAAAAGAAAAACCCACAAAAAAAAAGAAGCATGAAGAAATTTCTCTCCAGTATATAAATCATCAGTACCTTCAAAAATGTTTACTTTGGAAACTGTTCTAGAATATTTCCATTGGATTATACCAAATTGACCTTCATTTTTTTTTTAAGGTCAAAAGGAAATGAATAAATGTCATCAATTTAGAGGATTTCACACCTAGCATTCTTTTCTGTATCACTGTGAATTTGATAGTGTTAAAACATTTTTATAGGTAAAATAAATGTCAGTTTTGCAAAGAGCGATACCAGACCCTGAGAGACAAATGGCCTATCCATTGAATCTCTGGCTACAGCAAGACTTCCTCCCCTCACAGGAGATTTCAGCTTTTCATATTTCTCTTTACCCAGAAAGCAAAGCTTGTACAGCTTCTTTCAAATGGTAACTCTCTCTTATCCTGAAGAGTCTCCTCATAATACAATAATCTTGGATGGGGGGGGGTGTGGAGGGTAGCAGGTTGGTTAAAAAAAAAAAAAAGAAAGAAAGAAAAGAAAATACAAATATTTGAATAGTGTTATAGTGTTATAATACCTTCTTGAATAGCGAGCAAAGAGGAGGAGAAAGGCTAGCCTAAATTCCTGGATTATAAGAAAGGGTTATGTTGCTTTGGGCTTAATGGCTCATAAATTCATGAGGTAATATTCAGGGAAAATGTGATATTTTATCAGAATGTCATTCAAATATAAGGTTTAACATTTACATCACAAGAGCATGCACAGGGTAAAACTATCCTCCGGGAGAGACATGGCAAGAATAAACAGTGTGATAAAAACGGTGCTTGCTGAAAGTAGAGGATGGGGGAATTTTAGCGACAGCTGACTAAACTTTCTGAAATATGTGACTGGTTGTGACACGCGAAGCAATTACCATTAATGGAGGAAAAGTGATTTCAAAGCTCATTTTCCATTCTTCTATATCCTTCCTGAGACTACACCTTCCAACCACAAAGTGAAAAAACGAACACAAAGACAGAGAGAAATCACAGCCTAAGTCTCTTCTCTCATACAAGGGCCGTCAAAGGTTGCTTTACTCATAAGCAAAAGGGGAAAAGTAATGCACGTATTGCCTGAGGTTTTGTATTTTATTTTCTCAGCAAAAGAGATCGATGTTAGGTTGCAGAACAGACAAAAAGCATGGATTAAAGAAATCTTTCCACAACACACACACATGATTTTATAATTCAAAAAAAAAAAGCATAAAGATAAAGAAGAATCATTTGTCTAAAATGATAATAGTTTTGAGTAATATATTCCCTGGCAGCACAGTGAATGCATTCAGAAATGCCATTTAGATTAGTCTAATTCTATAGAATCCAAATGTGCACCAAACAGGGCACTTTTTATGTTAAATTGCTGTTGAATTTGTTAACCCACAACTGATTTCCTGTGTTATGGAATCTTGGAGATTACAGCTAACTTGAAGCAACAGGGATAATTCTTGACAGTTAATGGTACATTTGTATGCATTTTCCTGAAAGGCTAGCATCCTGGGCCCTCAAACCAGTAGCTCAACATTGCCCCCTACTGCTTGCAGCTTAAAAAAAATATGAAGTGGGCTGGTACAAACTAGGAATCTAACTGGCCAGTGCCAACTCCACCCTGAGCACACAAATACCAGCTGGCACTGCACTACCAGAGCCACAGAAGTGTAGACCCTGCCAATGATTATTTTCTTCTGTCTCTTCCAATAGCAAAAACAAATTTTAATGAATTTGTTAAAAGTCATTTTAAAAGGCTTGAAGCGATGCTTCAATTTAATTTAGAAGGACCATCCCTTTTATCTTGGCCCAAACCTTCACTCTGCTGATGATGATCACACTGAGGCCTGCCGAGGACAGACACTGAGGCCACTGATTTCCCTCAGAACACTTAGGAATGGCACAACAACTGCAAGGAAACCAGCTCTGGAAAATTCACAGCGTTGTTCTTCTTTTTAGCATTTTTTTATACGAGAGCTATACAATAAATAGAAGATATTCCCCCTAACTAATGTGCCAACTCCACCAATTAAAAAAATATATGTATAACTAAATCTTTTAAATGAATTCATAATGAATATCACTGGTAAGCTCACAGTATCAAAGATTTTACTTAAAAAAAATTCTTGAATGAAAGCAATTAATAAAATATTTTTTTACAAAATCAGAGTCCCTTTCTTACTTGTTCTCCAACTCTAATTCGCAGAGTTGTCAAATTACAATTTCAAAGTCAAGCTGATGTCTTACAGTCAAGGCTCATCAAGTAAAGAGATTCTAACTCATATGTAAATGGACAAAATCAGAATGATACAGTAGCAGGAAATAAGTTTCCCTGAAACCGAAGCTGCCTTTATCTATATACATCCCATAAAAATGGAGAATACTCAATACAGGTTTAGTTTAGGCATAAAACTAAGGAGATTTATGCACAGACTTTTCATTACTTCCAATTCAGTTTTCCAATGCTCACTTTTGCATTGACGCAGGTCTTCAGAGAAATCAATTTTTGTAATACTGTTAATATACTAATAGAAAGATTATGACATTCCTTCCTTAGACATATACCCACAAAAAGGCATGGTTTAAAGATTTGACGAGATGTCTGGAAAGCAAAGACTTTTGGATTCTGACCCAGACTTTTAAACTGGGGACTTCGGGGTTGTGACTTGATATATTCATTATTATAAAATAGAGATTAGGGTTGATACTCTGTTAAGTATTCTTATCGCAATAACAATAATAATAATACTAAGAAGAAGAAGGCAGAAGGAAACTTTTAGAGATTATGGATAGATTTATGGCACAGATTGAGGTGAGGGTTTCCTCAGTGTACACTTACCTCCAAACTCAAGTGGTATGCATTAATTATGTATAGCATTTTGTATGTCAATCACACCTCAAAAAAGTGGCTTAAAAAATAAAATAAAATAGGGATTAGCAATAACTATCCATTTTTGCAGATTAGTTCATTGTTTCCAGCACATTTCAAATTCTGTGCAGGGATACTGTCTCTAGAGTTTAGCAGGCTTTTGTCACTCTTCCACTACATTCCAGATTCAACTCTTTGGAGGCAGGACAGTGAGGTAGGGAAAGGCAAGGACCCTAGAGCCCACCTTCTTGAGTTCAAATCCCAGCTCCCCAACCTATTAGCTGTGTGACACTGAGGAAGTTACATAAACCCTTTGTGCTTCCATCTCCTTATCTGTAAAATGAGGGAAAAAATTATACCTACTTTATGGGGTTGTCATAAAAGTTAAAGAAGTTATACAGAAACACTTAGAATAGTGTCTGATACTTAATAAGCATCATGTAAGTGTTTGTTATTGTTACTATTATTTAAATCGACTCAATTCGAGCCCTCCCATGTGGCTTCAGCTTGCCTTCCAGCTACATTTCCTACCACATCCTCTGCATTCCTGCTCTATTCATACCTCCCTTCCTCTGACCTTGTTTTTACAGTTCCTGGAGCCCAATGTTCCTCCCCAAATGCCTCTTCCCATCACACTCCTCCCCATCCAAGGTCCCCCAACGCCACATCTGCCATTTCACCACAGTCCTGGCTCCAGTGGTATAAATTTAATACTCCCTCCTCTGGACTGTGCTTTTCTTTAAAAAACCTCTAATTACGGGATTTCATTTTAGCTACCATAATACCTGGTGATATTCGTGTCCCTCTCCTTGTGAAACTGTTTGATCACGGTGGTTGCTCTGGAGCTAGACAGCCTGCATTTCGATCTTGCTCTTCTACTTACCTGGTGACCTCGGGGGAGGCACTTAATTTCTCTGCCCCTCAGTTTTCACAGCCATAAATTCAGGCCCATAACAGTTTCAACACCTCTAGCATTGTTGTAAGAATTTAAAAAGTTAATACTGGGAAAACATTTAGAATAGCGCCTGGCGCACACAAAAATGCAAATGAATTTTAGATATTATTGCTGAATTGTTTTCCTTTCATGGCCACTTCCAGCATGTGTCTAGCACACTGCTCTATATGTAGAGAATACTCAATAAATGTTTATTAAACTGAGGTTGTACTGGCAAAATCCTGGCTATTGCCATTACCTTACCAAGAATAACCTAACCCAATAACTTGGAATAATTAAATATATATTTGCCTATGCAAATTAGGCCATGGAGGATTAGTATACAGCACAGCATCCCATAAAATACGGGCCCAGACTTCATGTACTTACCACGCCTTCCATCTTCTTCCATCGTTCCTCCAGCTGAGTCATGGGTTGACACCACCAATCAGTGCACTTTTTGTATCGATTGCCTTGAAACCAAAACTGTCTCAGCCACTCAAACTCGACCTGTGAACCATAAAGAGAAGGTGGTGATTATAACACCCTTGCAATGGATAAGCAAAGACAATAACTTCATTACCCAATTCTCTTCCTGTAACTTAACAGCCGTAGGATGAGAAAGGTGAGAAAAGCTCAGCCTAACCAGCTCCCTATATTAATTTGGCATCTCCAGGGCCTTTCTGCAAATTCAAGAAAAGAGTAATAATCTGAAAGCTGAGGCCCTCTCAGAAAGACAACCCAGTTCAGGCTGGAGAAGGGTTCTCAATGATACTTATCAGTCAAATGTTAGGAAACTGTAAGTCAATCAACAATAAATATTGAGATCCTATATTATACAGCAGCCTGTATTATACGATGGGAAAGATATAATCAAACAAAATCGACCCACCGTTCCCCTTCCCCTCCCCTCCTCTCAGGCCAGAGTCATGGTGGAAAGGTCTAGAGGAGAGGCATGAGGGAAGGCTGTCTCAGAACCAACCTCATCTCCTCCCCACGTATCATGCCACAGTGAATGCTTTGTCCAAGATGCCAAGTTATACTTCACCCACCATTCTCCCCAACTTTATCTGTGAATTCCATCTACCACATCTACCCCTTTCTTGTGGAAACTGACAAGCTGACTTTCAAATTTATATAGGCATTCAAGGTGCCTAGGATGTGGAGAAAAATATAAACGGGGAGAAACAGGGCAGGAATCCTCACACTGTTTTCTAAACTTAACATAGTCACCAAAACTGCGGAGTGAGAGAGGATAGAAGGGTCCATCAGTGAGACCTCACATTTGTGATCCATTTCTTCTGGAGGAAGGAGTAAGCACCATTAGCTGGGGAAATGAATACTCTTTAAAAAAAATAATAATCAAACAGAATATGTTTCATTAAATGTCTTTATTAAAGACTGGTATTAAAAGAAAAACACATATTAAGAGATATCAATTTCAAGTTTCTAGTTATAAAATAAAAAAGAATTTATCCAGGACAAGGAGGAGCTGGTGATAATCTTAGCCCATATAACCAAACAATATAAAATTAATTATGGAGGTATATATTAAACCTACAAAACCATTTAGATTGTCACTTGTCAACTCAGTCAAGGCAAATGACAATAGACAAAAAAAAAAAAAAAAAAAAGGTTAGCAAAAATACTAGTACAAGCTGAGTGTCCCTTATGCAAAATGCTTGGGACCAAAAGTGTCTCGGATTTTGGAATATCTGTATTATATACTTATTGATTGAGCATCCCAAATCTGAAAATCTGAAATCTAAAATGCTCCAATGAACGTTTTCACTCAAAAAGTTTTGAACTTTGGAGCATATCGAATTTCAGATTTTGGGATAAGGAATTCTCAACCTATAATTTTTTTTCCTTCCTATGACTCTATTATAGTAAACTTCTATTGTTTGCTGCCTTAGCATTCTTCCTTCTATTCTAGCAAAACCCTGCAAATCGTTTGCTAACCCATCCCTTCCCCAGTCTCAGTCCATGTGCTCTGGACAGAGCTCCAGCTCCAATACCAGGAGTGGAATGTGCAGCCCAGGTCTAGGCCAATCAGCCTGCTACATTTCTCTAGTCACAGAATTGAGTTTGAGGAGAACAGATATATGTTCAATCAAAATAAGTCTCAAGACTGTCAGAAGATACAGGAAGAAGACTCTGTAGCCATTTTGCCAACAAATGGGAAGAATAGAGCCAATACAGCAGGAGGTAGCTGTAAGATAAAAAGATAAAAACCAGGTACTGGTGACATCAACTGACCCTTGATCAAGCTATTCCCAAAGCCCTTTTTATTCAAGCCAATTCAGGTTGAGCCTTCTATCCCTTGCAACTGAAATAATTCCAACATAGATAGATGAGAGGCTGAGTTAACCTTTGGAAGTATAAGAAATTGTTTTCTATCTATTTTCCAAGTCTTCTATCACTCATCTTCCACTAGAAAATCAAATTTTAACATCACAGTGTAATTCCATTGATTCTAAAAACTCTTATTACCACTGCCCTCTAAAGAAATGTAGAACAATCATAGCTTCATGTCAGGTTGCCTGGCTTTGCTAAGGTGATCATGTTCCATATACAGATACAGAGAGCTTTTATAATCTTCACCTGTTACCACAAAGAATTATTTTGTTTGTTTATCCATATTAAACTTTCAAGAGGCAAACAAAAGCAACTTGTGAAGATTTAACAATGGAGACAATGGTTCAAATAAGTAACCTGAGAACACCAAGTCATATGAAAAGGTTTTAGTTTACATTAACTAAATGTTTGTTTGATATGTAGAACTGATTTCAGTTAAACCTGTTTAAACAAAACAAAACAAAACCAAAAAGGAATGTAGACCATATTAAAACAACAGTTGCTACACCTTATCTGTGGTATTAAAAGACAGTGGTTAACAGACACAAACTTGAGTACTTTGAAAGGAGAATGAATACAAGTACAGTTCAACTTCTGTAAAGATACAGGTTTAACAACATATTTATTACAAGGAAAAAAATGAGTTCTTTTTCATGGATCGCACATGAAATTTGTTCACGCTATAGGAACAACCTGTCAACAAATCATCAAGCCCTATTTTAGCGATAGTAGAGTTGAAAGGTTTTAAAAGGTTTTACAAACTTTGGACTGGTTACATCCATTGTTGAAGAGGACAAAATGCATAAGCCTTGGCAACCTAGTATCTCAGGAAATAAAATAAATTACCACATGTAATTAATTCATCCAACTTATCAGGATACAAGAGAATCTGGATTTTAGGAAATTAAAACCCAGAAGCAAGGAAAAGGACATATCAGGGGACTCTGCTATTGGACAAGAGAGCAAAGAAAGAGCCATGTCCCTTTTAATAAATAATGCCTTCATCTGCCTAACTATCATTTGAGGCAGATAGTTGGTTATGGTTAAGAATAAGGGCTCTGGAGTCAGTTCAAAAGTGGGTTCTGGCCGGATGACGTGGAACTGTGAGTCAACCATTGCCCAGGCCTGGTAGCTCACACCTGTAATCCTAGCACTTTGAGAGGCTGAGGCAGGAAGAGGGCTTGAGGTCAGGAGTTCAAGACCAGCCTGAGCAAGAACGAGACCTGTCTCTACAAAAAATAGAAAAATTAGCTGGGTGTGGTAGGGTGCACCTGTAGTCCCAGTTACTCAGAAGGTTGAGGCAGGAGGATCACTTGAGCCTAGGAATTTGAGGTTGCAGTGAGCTATCATGACACCACTGCACTCTAGCCTGGGTAACAGAATGTGACCCTATCTCAAAAAAATAAAGTGGGTTCTAATACAGAATGGCTATGTCATCCATCTGTCATCTGTAAATTAGGGATAATTATTAGTATATAATATCCACATAGGTTTGTGATGAGGATTACATGAGTTAATAATAAACTGCCTACTATGTGTCAGGCACTTGCTTGATGCTAAGAATACAAACCAAACGAGACCACAAGGCTTCAGACTTACTGTCTTCAAGCATCTCACAACCACATAAAATTTTCTGACCAGAAGTTGTAATGCCCATGTCAACTCATGCCCACCCCTCTCCACTAATGGTAGTCAGAGAAGTTCAACACTGAGGACCTACTCCCAACAGAGTGTTATTCACGAGTTGAAGTACTGCCCACGAGATGCAATCTTGGTGGACACCAAACCCATGGGCATGCATTTCATTCAATTCCATGGCCTGACTTTTTCATGTCAATGCTGTAGATAAAAATATTATAGGACTGTAATCAAACACCAACGTCATCACTTCCCCCAATGCCAAGAAAAGTAGTTGGCTCTTTTCTTAAAATTAATTAAGGAAGCAAAAAATATTTCCAGCTGCTTCACTCAGTTTGAGGTAAAAAAAAAAAAAAAAGAAAAGAAAAAAATTGTTTCCCCCTAAACTCTGGGGATTAGAAAGGAAAGCTGCAGCATGATATTGCACAAAAACCAAAGGGACCCAAGGATCAGGACTTAGAATACAATGGAAGCCTTATTACATTAAGAATTAAAAAAAAAAAAAAATCAAAGCCTAACCATACCGAGTGATTGGTAAAGTTCTAACCATACAGCAGTAGGGTCTTCCTCTCTTCTCCAGAGCTATAGGCCCTCCAAGGAGGCTCACAGCTACCAGAGCAGAAATAAAGAAACAAGCCGTCAGGAGGACAAATGTTGATGTGATGCCAAAGAACATTCCACGGGCGATACAGATCCCCGTGACGGGAACAGCAGGGAGACAACCCACAGGAGCTCTCTCAAGGTTCTCTGAGTCTTCAATATGCTTACGAAGGAAACTTCCTGATTTCAACCAGGCATTTAATAAAAATTCACTATTATCCAACCTTTTGAACAATTACAATATAAAGGAAATTAATTAATGCCCACAGGCATCAGAAGGCACACTGACAGCTTAGAGGCCCTGCAGGATCTTGAACGACTTTCTGAATCTTCAGAGAAAAATGAGAACATGTTCACAATAGCTTTAGGTTCATAGCTATGACCCAGAAAACCATCTCTGTAACCCTCTTACCCATACCTGCCTTCCCCATGGAACTGTCAAAAAAGGGATCAATCAAGAGAATCTTTTCTCCCCAAAATACCTAGAAAAAGTATAAGGGGGAGGAAGAAACAGAATCCCCCCACCTATCTGCACCTAGGCATTGGAGAATAAAGCTAATAAGATTTCAAAATTATTTTCTGAGCCACTATATCACCATATAGTTGTATTCCTATCACCCCTACAGGTAAGCAAATGTCACCTACTTTTCTTCTGCCGAGTTTGTTTAAGCTCTTGATTTGGTCCCAGGTCAGCCAATGAGTTCCCTCGTGAGATGTGTGAACATGAACCGTGGGGTTAATGTCTCACTGTAATAACTGCAGTAAGTTATTTTGCCAAGAAAGAAATTAGAGCAGGGAGAGATGCTCTGTCTACAAAGAGATAACCTGTGAAGGCCCATCGCCGCAGTTGTAAGGAAGATGAAGGTCTGATTAGAAGAAAATGAGAACCAAACAATGCTATCGAACAGTGCATTCTTCCAGGGGAAATTTAGTTAAGTGAAGAGACTGAATTCCACATTTTAATATTTTTAAGAATAAAAATAAATCATTTAATAACATAGAGGAAGACTCTGCTTCTAATTGAATCAAAATCTTTCCTAAGCATCGGAATTGGAAAATGTACCTCCAAAAGGAACTCAGTTCCTATGCCGAAAGTTCCCAAATTGCTTAGTTAGAAACCATTCTAGGCCGGGAAAACAAACCACTTAAAACCCGCACAGCCTGAGAATTTGCAGCATGTAAAACCCAGGGCTTCATCCTATAATTAGTCCAGCAAAGACACACGGCTTTGAAGAGAGCGGAAAGCAAACAACAAAAAGTTGCGAGCTATCGTGGACATGTGTTGCTTGCGTCTAACGATAGAACAAAGTAGAGTGTGAGCGTGCAAGCGCTTAATCCCAGGCCAATTTATATGGCAAAAGAACAATCTCTATGTGCCCTGACATATGGAATTAATTCTTAAAGTAAGGAGATGACCTTGAAGAATTGAAGACTGGGGGGGGATGGTGAAGACTGGCACACACGCTGTTCAGATTGAAGATCACTCCCTCCATTCAACCCCAGGCTAGCTCAAGGGTGTGAGGTTTCCGATACAGCACAACTCTGCCCCACCTCCCGAACATATACAGTGTCAAAAGCGGGCAGCCACTTTCTGAAGCAGATGGATTTAGATGATGATATTCTACTGTTAGATAAACAGTGTGATTTTATAGATTTCCTCTACCCACTGATGACAGCCAAACATCACAGTCACAGAAGAAGACCTGAAAGGATGGGAAAATATAAGCAGCCATTTTGCTGGCTTGACCCCTAAAATTGAGAGAGGTTTTAGAGAAGGAAATAACTAAATGCCCAGACTAGAAATTCTGTATTATAAATATGGAGAAGGACATAATTTTGCTCCCAGGTCTAATTCAGGGAGGTCATCAGGCCCATAAATGCACATCTTTCCTGAAATTCTGGCTATCAGCAGTGTCACGAGGAGGGAGTAATGAGAAAGAAAATGGGACACTTATCAGGCACAAAGGAAGGGAAGAACGTCAGGCTCACAGCTTAGTGTTAGAAGGGGATGCTATTCCCTGAAAGGCAGAATTTCTTTGTCTTTGGTTCTGGAGATTATGACAACGTTTCACAAAGTGTGCAGCAGCTCAGAAGATATTAAATATCTTTTAAAGACATTGAAAAGATATTGTATGTCACTGTGGGAGCAGATATTTTTTCTGCTTTGCTCAAAATCCTTCAATGGCTCCCCATTTCCCTCGGAGCGAAAAGGAAAGTCCTTGTCCGTACAGGGGCCTCCCAGTCTCCCAGGACTATCGCTGGACCCTCTTCTCCTGCAACTCGCTGCCTCACCGCCTCCGCTCACAATGCTGTCCCTGAACTAGTCCACGAACTCCAGGCATTCCCCTATCTCATGGCCTTTGTAGCTGTTGTTCCTTCTGCCCGAAATGCTCTCCCCCGACAGCCACGTGGCTCGCTCTCCCAACTCCTTCAAATCTCTGCTCAAAAAACGTCTTCTCAATGGCGATGCTCTCTAGTTCTCTCAATTTCCATTACCTTGCTCTGCTTGTTTCATTCTGTAGCACTCATCTACTTCCAACATACTATCTAATTTACCAATATATTATGTTTATTATTTATCATCATCACCCTGTACTAGAATGTCTATTTTATTTACCAATATATCCTAAAGTACCCAGAAGAGTAAGCTGGCACAGGCTCAGTAATTGTTTTATATATATATATATATATATATATATAAAATTTATCTATCTATACATCTAATTTATTTAGAGACGAGGTCTTACTCTGTCGCTCAGGCTAGAATGCAGTGGCATAATTAGAGCTCACTGCAGCCTCAAATTCCTGGGCTCAAGTGATCCTCTCACACCGGGACTACAGATGCATGCCATCATGTTCAGCTAACTTTTCTTATTTTTTGTGGAGATGAAGTCTCGCTATGCTGCCCAGGCTGGTCTCGAACTCCTGTCCTCAAGCGATCCCCCCACCACTTGGCCTCCCAAAGTGCTCAGATTACAAGCGTGAGCCACCGCACCCGGCCTCGGTAATTATTTATTGGAAGGATGAAGGAGAACATTTTTGCATTCTAAATCTCCATCAATCATTCTAATTATATCAAAAAGAAAGCCTCAGATTGGTGACGATCTTCAATAGTTCTCTACCACTTGTTAGTTTCTTTTTTCCCTTTTAACGGTTTTCTTTTTTTGTGAGGTATAATTTACCCACCATAAAATTCACACATTTTAAGTGCAGAGTTCAATGATCTTTAGAAAATTTATGAAGTTGTGAAACCATTACCACTAATCTCCCTTCTTAACATGAGGAAAGGAGACTTTAGGCTCAGAGCCCCCTCCAGACAAGAATATCTGCCGGAATGTAATATCGTTGCCCTGTTTTCATTGGATATATTTTTCTGGTTACTTTTTCTTTTGGATCATGATACTGGATTTCCACTTAAAGTGGCAATAAAAGGTTTCCTTTTTAAAGAAATTTATATGTGTAAAAAAATGACTTGACTTAAAGAAAAATATTAAATAGCCAATGATGTATGTTGTCCAAAGATAGAGCAAATATTGCAAGGGTGTTAATAGGAACAGTAAAGTCTGTAAAATACTGATGCTTGGAATCCAAATCTGCTGATCTCAGAGACTATGAGATCGCAACTTATTTTATAAATAAAGAGCAAGGCACTGACACTTGCTCCTAGGGCCTACCTTCAGTTCCCATCAGCCCTTGGTAGGAAATGATTCTGCAGGAGTCCCTTGTGTTTCTGCATGTCTTGTGAGCAAGCACTAACTGCTCTGTGTGTCAGACTTTCATTGCAAGGATGTTTATATAGCAAACAGCCTTAGTAGATAGAGAGAGTTTATTCCTTCAGAACAAAGGGCAGGTTTGTGTATAGACTCACAAGATAAAGACAGTGTCTTGACCTGGAGTGAAGGCCAGGCATGCTTACTATCCACTTAAAAAGATACAGGAGCCCGTAGCTCAAGTTTCCCCTCCTATAACGCAACCCCTCAATCTGTACATGTTATGTGGCCTACTTTACATCACCCTATAGAAATAGAGGCTTCACAAACGCTGTGGTCTGAAAGTCTATGTCCCTCCTAAATTCATATATTAAAATCCTAACACCCAAGGTGATGGTATTAAGAGGTGAGGCCTTTGGGAGGTGATAGATCATGAGGCTCTGCCCTCATAAATGAGCTTAGTGTCCTTATAAAAGAGGCCCGAGGGATCCTGTCTGCCCCTTGCACCACATAAGGACGGAGTGAGAAGGTGCCATCTATGAGTCAGGAAACAGCCCGCACCAGACACCCAATCTGCTGGTAACTGGATCTTGGAATTGCCAGCCTCCAGAACTGTGAGGATGAATTTCTGTTGTTTAGAAGCTACCCAATCTTTGGTATTTTTGTTATAGCGGCCCAAATGGACTAGGACCGAGAACTAACATAAAAATGGTGATACTCTGGCTACTGCTATTGTTGTAAGCAATAACCCATCCTTCACCTCTGACCCAGCAGTCTCATGTCTTATACCAGTCTGAAACTGTGGCAGAGTAACTCGTTAGCATGCAAGTAAGGTAGAATCTCAGACCCTTCACGATTCTTGAGAGGCCTCACCTCATTGTGAATTTCTTCTCCCTGTTTCAAAACTGCAGGCTCAAAGGATTTCAAAGAGACGTCACCGTTGTCCACATCGTCCCGGACATTCTGCAGAGCCAGCTGGCAGCGTTGTAAGATATAATCCAAGGTTCCTGTTGAGCACTGTTGAGACAGAACCATCAATCAAGATTAGGAGCACAATCCACATTTATCATGCCACTCTTCCTAGGAGGGTTTGCATCTGCCCCTCTCCATGCATTCACCTGTTGTCCCCACAGCTCAGCCTACCCTCCTTAACTCAAGAATGACTACAGTGGCCCGCCCACTGGGCTCTGCACTGCCAGCTCGGCCTCATTTGGGCCACTCAGTTTGCTGGTTTTCTTTCCTTACATGGGCCTCATATCTCTAACTAAACAGTAGGCTTTCTGAGGCTAAGGCCCCATTTTTGCATACATTGTTTACATACGCTACAGCATCTAGAACTGAGTCTCACATGTAGAAGAAACTTAAATAATCACTGGATAAATAACTAGTTAACCAGGAAGTCAAGGGCACTGACTTTATCTCCAGTGCCCTCAGCAATGGGAAAGAAAGGTAACCAGACGGCAGACTTGGTATGAAAAGCACAGTAAATAGAATAGTAATGGCGAGTGGTGGTGGGGGAAATGAAGTTATAAATAAAAGAAAAGAACTCATTTCCCTTTTCTGCAAAAAGCACACACTAGGCAGTGCAGACCTTGGCAGAAGAAATCCTTCAAATGGAAAATATGTGGCTCCTGCCATCCAGGCACGTTCAAAGATATAACTTAGCACCTGTGCATCAGCAGGGACTCTGATAACTAGTTCATCCCTTTCTGAGTCGGTGGGAGCAAAACAGAGGTCAAATGGACAAACACCTTTTTTTAAATGATCACGTGTCGGAAAACAAGAGGATGCAGATGGACTGTGCATCCGTTTGTTTTGATAATAAAATGATTTCCTAGAATGATAAAAAGCAAGCTATAAATATGCTTTAGACCTAAGGAGGGAAATGTATCCCTAAAATATTTTTATTTTAATATTTATAATTTAAACTGAGCCCTTGGACATAACCTTGAAGGCTAATCCTCTGGTATAAAAATTCTTTGCACACTTACTGCCATCTTATACAATACCAGCAAGCCTGGGAAAAAACAAAGTTTCTGTGCCAATAAACAGAAGCTTGACTGATATGTATTTTACTATGAAGATCCCAGAGTGCTGGGAACACAAGGGCAGGCAGCTCCAATTTGCTGCAAAAAAAACCAAAGAATGGGGGTGAATTACCACTCACTTTTGTCCCACAGCTACCTTTACAAAATCTTTTTACTATGTCCATCTGTCTAGAAAGTTCTCTTACTTGGACCTTTACTTTCCCAAGTATGAAGTGAGTTACACAAGAGGTTATTAATTGCATTGTCATTTATTACAGCTAAAGATTGGAAACAATCTAAATTTCCCAACAATAGGAAACCAGTTAAATGAACTATGGTGTAACCATACTTGTGCCCCCACCCCCAAAAAAGGCAGGGGAGAGAGTGGAATTTTTTTTTTTCTGGACATACAGTATTTTCTTTGATCAGGCCTAGTTTGGATTTTGTTTTGGTTTTTTTGGGGGGGTAACAATTTTATTGAGATATAATTCATATATCATAAAATTCAACCATTTTAAGCATACTATTCAATGTTGTTCAGTATAATCACAGTTGTGTAACCATCACTACAATTAATTTTAGAACATTTTTTATCACCCCAAAAAGAAACCCTGTGCCATTTAGCAGCCTCCCCCTCCCATTTCCACCAACATTTCAGCCCTAGGCAACCACTAATCTACTTTCTATGTCCTTAGATAGGCCTGTTCTAGACATTTCATATAAATCAAATCACTCAATATGTGATCTTTCCTAATCAATTTCTTCCACTTACCATGGTTTCAAGATTCATCCGTGTTACAGCATGTATCAGTAGTACTTCATTCCCTTTTAATGCCAAATAATATTCAATTGTATAGATAGGCCACATTTTGTTTATCCATTTATTAAGTGGTTAACCTTTCAGTTGTTTCTACTTTTTCGCTATTAGGAATCAAGCTATTATGAACATTCATATACAAACTGCCATTACTCTTGGGTATATATACCCATACATATACCCAATACCCATTGGGTATTGTGTCCTAGAGTGACTTTGTATTTAACCTTCTGAAGAAGTGCCAGACAGTTTCCGAAAGTGGCTGTACCACTGTATATTCCCTCCAGCAGTGCAGGAGGATACCACTTTCTGCACGTCCTCACCAATACTTGTTACTGTCTCCTTGATTCTAGCCATTCTAGTGCGTGTGAAGTGGTATCTCATCGTGGTTTTGATTTGCAGTTTCCTAGTGACTAATGATGTTGACCATTTTTCATGCATGTATTAGCCATTTGTATACCTTCTTTAGGCCCATGTTAATTCAGATCCTTTGCCATCTTCAACTGGATTATTTATCTTTTTAATTATTGAGTTGTAAGAATTTGAATATTCTAGATACAATTACTTTATGAGATATATGATGTGCAAATATTTAATCCCATTCTATGATAACACTGGTTGCTTCTGGGGAGGAGGAGCTGCTTGGCTTGAGAAGAATGAGACTTTAACTGTATACCCTTAGATATTTTTTTAAAAATTTTAAGCCATTTCAGTAACTACCTATTCAAAAAATAATTATACATAAAGCTTGAATTTTAAAAAGACATTCTGTATTGAATCCTAACAGCATTCTGTCATAACTAGAAAAAACTAAAATCAAAGAAAGGTCAAGAGGCATCAGATGTAATCTAGTAATATACAACCAAAAAACTCAATAAATTTCTTCTCCGATTAACTAAAATGAATTTCAAAACATCATAGCCTTAGCATACTTTGTGTCCTACATATTGCAAATAGGCAGAAAACAACAAATCATTTTGTTTGGCACATATAAGATAAGTAATGCTAATACTGTATGAAGGAGAGGACATTTGTAGAACAAGTGAGGGATATAAAGTTGCATGAATTTCTTCCCCTCCTCTATTAAAGAAAACAATAATGTAATTTCAGTGTTGGAGGAAAAAGCTTTTTGATTCTTCTACTATTGAAAACAATAAGATGAAATAAAAAATTTTAAATAAGATGAAAACATAATCCCACCATCTTAGCCTATTTTTATCTTTTTACTACATGTGATTCTTTGTCCATACACAGTTGCATATCAATGTATATGCTGTTTTTCACTGTTTGTACATAAATGTTCAAGACAGCCATTGAAAATGGTTGTTAATTAAGGTCACAGTCAACAATCTAATTAAATGGTCACATACTATAAAGGCACTAAGGTTCTGCCCAACTTTCACTACTACTGATCATGCTTGATAAACATCTGTATATACACACTTCTATTTAATTATTTCCTGGGTTTGATTCCTAAAAACAGTGTTATGAGATCAAAGATAGGATTTTTTATGGTGCTTTATACATAGTCCCATATAGCTTTCTAAAAAGTAGACCAACTAGAAGAACTAGCAGAAGTATATGAATTGTACCAGTTTTACTGTAACTTTGTCAGCACTGAATATCACTATTTTTTACTTTAGTAGGAATATTTTGGCACAAATAAGAAGTGACCTTAAGATAGTTAATTTCTTTAAATTTACTTTTAATTTTAAGGTGATTTTTAAGGCCTGTTTACCCAGGATCATCTATAACACAGACCAGCAAACTGTTTCTTAAAAGACGAAACAATAAATATTTTAGGCCATTGCAGGCCATAAGGTCTATGTTGTAACTACTCAATTCTCCCACATAGCTCCAAAGCAGCCATACATAATATAGAAACAAATGAGTGTGGCTGTGTTCCAATAAAACTTTATAAAAACAGCCAGCTGGCCTGCGAGCCACAGTTTGCTGACCCCTGCAAGGTATTCACATCGTTCACATGAAAATATACAATCATAGATTTGGGGTAATGTTTTCTCCTGACAGAATCACTATACATATTCATCTCTTTATTTATAGTTAATTAGTGCTAAAAATGTGGCCTAAAAATTAGAAGACACAAACACAACTATGAATAAAAAGAGAATAAACAGAGAAAACTAAGCCTCAGGATATTTTGAAATCGATGCTACTCTAATGACTACGAAATTGGTCCAGCAAGGCCAGGAGGGTGCTTTTCAAACTATACTCCAAAGTGCTCCCTTTGGGTGCTTTTATGTGTGTGTGTTCACTGCAAGAGGTAGCGGGCAAGAAGTTTCCTGCTCTCTCACATGTTTCACTCCCACATTTCCATTTGTCCGTTGAACTGTTTCACTCGGCAGCTCCAACCCAGCCTGTTCAAAACTGAACGAATTCCTGTCTTCCCCTAATGTCTTAGACCCCCTATTTCTACTAATGTCATCCCTGAATCATCTAGACTTGAAAGTCAAGAGTCATCCCAGAGCCTGGCACATGGAAAACATCCAATAAAGAGTTAGTTCATTCATTCATTAACTCATTATTACATTCCTCTCTCCATTTTAATCAGTCAGTTGCCAAGTTTTACACTGTCTCTTACATTATTCATGGGATTTTCTTCTTTTTTCCTCCTGCCACTGCCTTAGTTCAGACCCTGATAGATTTAAGTGATGCCCCTATCATTTTCATCTTCTTAAAGTTATCTCAGTATGTCACTACCAAGATAAAAAATAATCAATAGTCCACAAGTGCCAACCAACTTAAGTTCAAACACCTAATCTGATATCCGAGATCTTTCACAATCTGGTCCCATGCAGCAATCAGCCTTAGCTGCCAACGTTCCCTTTGGCACCCTAGGACCTGCTCAAAGTACAGCCACTCAATACTCCCCAAGCATCGGCATCCCATCCCAATCACGAGATTCCCACCTCAGTCCTGGTTCATCCCATTAGCTGTCCTAAAATTTCCTAAAATCCCTAATACCTACATGTTCAATCCCTATATCTTACCTGTCATAAAAGGCTAATACACACTTCACCTCACCCACGAAGCTTTATGGTATTTGATACTTTCTGTTCTATAATGCACTATACTTACTTATAAACTGTAAGTATCTTGAAGACACTGAACATATCAACCATTCCTGCTCACATGGGCCTAAAAGACTAGCTTGAACATGAACAAAAGTTTAATGAATGAATGAACAAACTGCAATCCCTTCTCTTGAACAGCAGTGTTCAATGAATAGCAATTCTTATAATCAAGACTTGCTAATGATTTAATGTTTCTTGCTTTATTATGTATACTCTAGTATATAAATGGAAAAAGAATAACCTTCCATACGAAGAGCTGTAGTTGTTCCTATCTCCTATTAGTTTTTCATCAGAATAAAATGAAAAGATAGTCATATTAGGAGTATCAGCAGTAATAGTAATTTAAGAGTAGTATTAGTGTCTAACATTCTTTGTACACCCATCACTGTTCTAAAAGACTTACATGTATTAACTAATTTAATTCTTGTAAGAACCCTATGAATTTGATATGATTGTTATCCCCATAGAATATATTTCCCCAAACTTTTTGTTAATCTTTTATTTATCATTACCAGCCCTCTGATCACAGAACTAATGAGCTTGTCTACTCTTCCAGGTTAGATGAGGAAAGACGTAAGAAAGATATACTTAAGTAGCCACATACTCAAGAGATGTATGAGAACAAGATTCTTGGGAGGTTTATAGCTAGAAAGAAAGATGCTTATAACCAGGGAAATGAAATCTTTCTGTACAAGGCACATATTAGAAGCTCCATAAATGTTCCTTCCTCTTTTCCTTCCTTCCTTTCTTCTCTTCCTTCCCTTCCTTCCTTCCCTTCCTTCTTTCCTTTCCTCCTTTCCTTTCCTTCCCTACCTCCCTCCCTCTCTCCCTTCCTTCCTTCCTTCCTTCCTCCCTCCCTTCCCTACTTCCTAACAGAACCTCTTTCTGGCCTTGAAGATAATCATTTCTGTGTTTATTTAAAATTTGTCTTCCCAACTCAAACATAAGTTCAGCAAAGGTAGTGGATATGTTGATGGCTCTACGACCTAGGCCTACCAAGCTGGACACACAACAGGAACTCAGATATTTAAGCGAGTGAGTGAATGGACATGAGAAGAAAGGGGAGAAAGGGAGGCAGGAATGCATGACGGGCTTGCTGGCATCTTGGTTTAAATAGTTACTCATTCCCTCTCTGCCACATAGCAAAGTGACTGGTCCACTAGTAAAGCTATTTAATCACCAAAAGACACGACCTTGCCGTATAGACTCACATAGTCTTGAGACCAAAAGACCCTCTGCTTGTGCTTCCCTGCTACTTTTTTTTTTATCACTTCTCCCCAATTTTCTCACACTTGTCCCCTGTGGTTCCATGGAAAGTCAAGCTATAAAGCAAAGCATGGATAACGAGCTTGGGTGGGAGGTCAACTTGTAATCCTTTTCATGATTATTCATTCCCCCGCTCTCTGGAACCCTTCTTAACTGAGCAATGGGACCTCAGGATGACTAATATGAGTTTTTCTCATTTTTAAATCTTCCATTCTGAGCTTGTCTGATCAGCTGACCATCAGCCACTACAAGTGGTAGCAGAATTTAGCAATAAAGTCTGTGCTACGAACACAGCTGGAAAGCTCAGAAATTCCTTGGCACCACTATAACTTTCTCCTTAATTTACATTCACGTGACTAGAAGTCTGACCAAAAAGTTAAGGAAAATGTAAATTCTTGACCATCTGAATGCAGCCACAGCTAACAGATGCACAGGCACAAGAAACCACCCGTTTCCTTCTGGCCATCTCCTGTCCCTGACCTTGACAGATACATCCTCCTAAACAAATCTCTAACTATCTAACTTGCCAATGGCATTTTCCTTCTCCAAGAAACATAACTCCAAGAAGCAAAATAAACCTATCCCATGCTATGGATACTTACTTAAAAAGCGAGTAAACAGAGACTAAAGTCAAGTTACGTGGAAGCAATTTTCCTATCAAATACTCTTCCAAAGCTCCATGATAAATTGCTCGTTCGACCACCTCTGTCTCATCCAATTAGGTGTGAATCACATTTCTATTTACACTTACCTCTGCCACTCGGTGGGTGGAACTAAACCGAGGTTGTGAACCAGCCAAAACACAGTGTTGGTGGGTGGCATTGAGATCATCTACAGGAAAAAAATCAAAAATTTACAAAAACACATTTATTAGTTAGTATATACTATACACTATTTAAAATACAAAGTAAACAGTAAACGCACCACGCAGGAAATGACAATAACCAAGGAATTAGCACTTACCTTGTATTCACTAAACACTTCCTTTTAAATACGGTCTCACTCTCTCTCTCTCTCTATACACACACACATACACACACACATGCACACACACACACACATTTATATATATAAAATCACACAAACCATGACACTTTGAAGAGTGAATAATTATTCCAGAACAGGTATAAACCAGGACTTTCCT